GAAAGGAAAATCTAAAAATACTAAATTTAATTAAGAAAACTTTCTTAAAGTATTTTATAATTTGATGTGCACTGGTTTGATATATAAAACATCCGCAAATATATGAAAATCTAATTAGTTCTAATAAAAAATTTCGAGTTGGTCTATTTAGTTTTGTTTTGAGTTGGTCTAAATTGAAAACGATGAGTGATTTGAATTCATCAACTCTACGATTAATAAAAATCTAATGTTATTTTCTTTTTTTATTCTACTCCCTTCGTCAAACTATTACAAACCTTATTTTTTTCTATTATAATGTCACTCAAGAATAAAAAATTAGCAAATGAAAATAATAAACACATCAAGTGCTAATAAAACAAAACTTCTAAATTTAGTTCAATTTATTATTCTTTATTTGTAAGGAAAAAGGGACAAATATGAAAATATATATTTATCACTATTGGTTTGTTTTAAACATACTAGTAATCTCACCCGTGCGATGCACGGCATGAGATTTTTTTTTAATGTATTGTAGTTAATAAGGTCCACCACTGTAATTATTGACGACACTAAACAATGTCACGCAATAAAGATACCAAAAACGCAATTGACAAAACACATATTTAATATTATGGTGAACTGAGAATACAAAACATCACGGGAAAGTAAAGAAAAAACAACACATAGATATATTCCAAAACAGTGAGACTGTAAATATCCATTTCAATCAACCTTAAACGTTGTTGAAAACTTCTTTGAATACCACATTCTGAGTTTTGTTAGTGGTTCGTCCATCATCACCAACAATTAAAATTTTCAAACAACATCGGTTGGTCACCCTAGAAATTGCAACATACAACTGTCCGTGAGTAAATACAGGTTTTTGTAATAACAGCCCAACACGGGACAAAGATTGACATTGACTTTTATTTATCGTCATCGCGTATGACGTCATTATAGGGTACTGGCGCCGCTGAAATTTGAAAGGTAAGGAAGTATCCGATGGCGTCAAAGACAATCTTGGAATCAGGACTTTCTGTCCGGCACTCACACCAGTCAAAATCTTCCCCTCCAAAACATGATCACCAAGTCTCGTTAGAATAAGACGTGTACCATTACACAACCCCATAGAATGATCTATATTTCTCAATAGCATGACCGGGGTCCCAACCTTTAACGTCAACTCATGATTCGGCACACCAGACAATTTTATACTATTTAAGAACTCAGGAGTGTGCAGTTCTGCCATAAGATCTGTTGTGGAGTCCAACTTAGAAACAGTGTCAGAACTATGATATGTTCTTGAAACTTCGCCAACATTAAGCGCCGTCATATATTCATTAACAGCTTCAACAACAGCCAGGGTGGGTGCCAAAATTGCACGATCACGCAAACAACTAACATCTGCTGCAGATATAACATATTCTGGAAATATGCTTTCTACTATCGCAGCTATAGGATCTCCATTAGTGTGTATCAATAGATCGTCAGGAATAGGAATCAACACATGGCCATCATTCAAGTCACCAGCAACACCATCACCAACGCTAGCAATCCAATCCGAAAACAACTTCAAATCATAAGAATCTGAAGGATTTGTCAAGTTTTGCAAACGCATATTTTTTGTGAGTTGGAGGACAGTACATTGTGACCAAAGATATGATGAATTAATGGTTGCATTGACGACATCCTGCCTGCTCCCACGCGGTATAACCGGCAACACTTGTCGAAAATCACCACTGAATACCATTGTTTTTCCACCATATGGAAGAGTACCACAATTTGGTTTGTGGAACCGCATAATGTCCCTCATGCTCTGATCCAATGCCTCAAAACAAAACCTATGTAACATTGGAGCTTCGTCCCATATAATCAACTTACACCGTACAATTAGCTTGGCAAGCGGGCTTCCCTGTTTAATATGACACGTGAGGTCTTCGTTAAGACTTATCAGTATTGCAAATCTAGAGTGAGCGGTGCGTCCTCCCGGCAACAGAAGAGATGCAATACCACTCGATGCAACATTAAGGACAACCTCACCTCTAGACCTAATGGCTGCAGAAAGGGTCTTCCACACAAACGTCTTTCCTGAACCTCCGTAGCCATAAACAAAATATATACCACCAACCTCTTCATCAACAGACAGCATTATTGTATCATATACTTGCAGTTGCTCATCCGTAAGAGAATTGAACAACATAGAATGTTCCGCTATCATTGCGCTTTGATCATAACGCAATTCTTAAAATATAAGTCTGTCATTAGAAGATAATAGTGAATCGAGAACTACTGTAGGCATGGGGGGGGGGGGGGGTAATCGCGCAAACTTTTCCCACGGGTTTGTAATTGTCACGCCCCGGACCTCCCCGGACACGTCGACAATCCGCCGTACAATACGAATAGTCAACCGCAGTCCAACACATTCATATTATACAAGGCGTCTTGAATATCATTCACACGTATACATCCATAAACAAACATAATAAGTAATTCATAACGCAGCGGAAAACATTGTTTAAAACAAGAAGGCCACACAAGGCATTTCATGAGCACGCAGGCTCTATAGTAAAATATCCATGAGCAAATTTATTAATGTTTCAAATGGAATGGAGGAAGCACGAACCAAGTCTTCTCTCCTAGGGATCACTCGATCAACGAGCACAGGATGCAAGCTCTAGCCTCAACCTGAAATGGTGGTGGGACGCCCCCGAAGGGGTCAGTACTCTATACGGCTATAAAGTACTGGTGTGGCAGGCATCTAATAGATATACAACAAGTATTTCACACACAAGACCCTCAAGTAGGGTGATAATATAGTTTAGGCTGTAATCCCAAATTACCCCTTCAAAATATATACTTACTTTATATAAAGTCAAGTAGTCGGCTCAAAGGCCCATGTTTATCACAAAACATTTCCCAAACCCCGTGACTAATAGTCACGACATACATAGGGTCCAACCCTAATATAACTTCTCATTTCTAGAGTTCGGCTCGAGTACATCATCATGCACTCGCATCATAGATCTCCTACTTCATGTAATCACACCATAGATCTCCTACTTCATAAAATCACCCCATAGATCTCCTACTTCATAATATCACACCATAGATCTCCTACTCCATGATTTCACAATTGACACTTGAATCTCATTCAAGTTCATCACAAACAAACTCAAACCTTGAGTTTGATTCTAACACATTTAGGACAATCCTTAACTAGCATCACAATACTATTAAGATTATTCCTACAACTCATTTATCATTAATGGTAGCCCCTCCATATCAATAGATATGTGGCAGCCTCCCATGTGTTAAACATCATCATGCAATTATACATTTACATACACATAACATTCATACATGAATTGGAAAGGTCAATTTACCATATTAGCATACTTCCATCTCACATGGTTCCATATTCATCAATATGGTTTCAATTCATGATCAAGTCCATTACTTATCATTCATATCATGTTCAAGCATATTTATTCACAAAAACATGATTTAAGCATTTAGGTAATCTCATGCATAACCTACAAGTTGTAAGCAACTCGATGTCGGTCCTCACCTTAATTGAGCTTTAAACTTTTCTTTCTTGATCCAATGGTCAAAGCTTTGGCCAAGGTGGATTAAGAACTGATTCCTTGCTTAAATATGAGTGTTAAACAGCCTCCTCAAAGTGCTAGCTCAACCCTCAAACGTTGATACGAAAACAGCCCCTAGAATGGGTGTTTTCCGGTTAGCTCGTTTCCTAGTTTTCCAAGATTTACTCTAGGTTAGTATCTAACCATTACATCAATAAAATAACTTTACAAGGACATATTACACACTTGGATTAGTGTACAATAGTTCCACCAATCGTTCATATCATTTGGAAAATGAAAGGAAAGGTTTTGGGGTTAACAACTCACTTTAGAGGTGTAGATCCGTTTCTGCGAGGTTTCGTTTTTCTCGGACGATTTGGAAACCTTCCACTACTCAGATTGATGCAAACCAGACCTTCACGGATTCCTCGTCTTGAGAGCTTTCTTTTGGTATCTTATACGCCTTAATTGGATTGGTATAACTCGAGATATACACCAAACAGCTTCAGCACTCTCAGAGCTCGAGTTTACAGACCACTGCTCACTCCAGCTCGATTTTTGTATGATTACTCTCTCCTCTCGAACAGAGACCACTCAATTATGAAAATAGACTTCAAAGGCTATCCAAGGACACCGTAATCAAGCTATTTGGGCGAGTACAACTCTCAAAATGAAGGGAGACAAAACAGCACACCTGTTTGTGCGAAAAAAGTGGTGGTGGCCCCAAAATTTGATTCCAATTGTGTCATGGGCAGTGCTTCTCCATGTGGTGCGGCCAAGGTGAGTCTTCTCACATATTTTCCTTGTCTTGCAGGTACTCAAGCCACATGGAATGCCCCCCAATTGATCTCAATCAATTTGAGGTCCAAAATATCTACCAATACTTCCAAAAAATGGGAAGATGGGTCCTATTGTTTTATCTTTGTCAAAGATGTCTTTTTGTACTCATCCTAATTTATTTAGAACAAGTCAACTTCCTAAATCACATTATTGATCTCCAATATGTGTAGGCTCATCCCAATAATTTACTTAATGGATATTATAGAAGGAAAATCCTACTCCCATTATTTAGCTCAATAAGGCCAAAGATGGGGTTATAGGCATTTGTATTCTTCTTTAATCATTCTATCACTTATTTGACATTTGTCATACATATTATAGGGCTACTAGCCGTGTGGGTCACTCCCGAGTGGGTCTAGAACGCCATTCTCGAATACTTGCTATTTTTAGCAGGTTGGGCCCAAAATAATGTTTGGGTCGCCCGACCTTCCTCAAATTGTCTTGAAAGGTCATATATTACTATTTAGAAAATGTTGGGCTCCTTTATCTATTAATAAGTCCCAAATAGTATCTGTATGTCCGACACTAATATACGAGTTCGAACAGTACAATATTCGATCATTAATTACGTAAAACATTAATCGTTTTACAATTGTTTGGGAATCAGAAATCCAATACATAAACTTTGAATATTTAAATCAAATCTCCAAGGACATTCGGGTGCGGTGTCACAGTAATAACCTCTGAATTTCTTCCAGAGCAAACCTCATTAACTGGTCGTCAGAAAGAATAAGATCTGGAATATGATAAATAGTTAGTGTGAGGAAAATAGAAAGTATGGATGGAAAAATAAATATCTAAGATTCATTAGTATGTTTGACAATCATAACCTGGATGTTGTAATATTCTCCTCCGCATGTATTGGATGTCATCAGCCATGAAGGACCAACATTTTTCCCAAACATACTCAGGTCTTGCCATTGACTCTGTCCACAATAATATCACAAATAAAATTCTCAAACAAAAGGCAGATGAGAAATGGCTTGCCTCTGTGAAAGCATCAATGAATTCTTTATCATCGTCGAGTAAGCCCAACGCATAACATGCATCACGAAAAGAATCATAAATGACACCATTCAAGGTTCTCAAGTCCTGATGGCTTGTTGCACCACGAACATGATTTAAAAGACATCGGAGGTAATAAGATTCACCACTGCCGGGATGGACATGATAAACTCTACCAATAGCAAAGTTTTGTTTTCTGGGAGACCATTCTCTTGTCTTTTGTTTCCAAACAAACTTCTGAGGAAACTCTGCATATGTCAAAAGTCTTGCTTCCGGGTACTTCTTATTGGCCTCCATCCACGCTGTGAACATACTCTCCTTAACAGAACATGCTCGAACCACTGAATCGAGAGGCTCATCGTCGCGAAAAACAACACTCTGCTCTCCTGGTAAATGGAAGCTCAGGCGTTTAACATGCGGGGTTTTATATTGACTTTCAAAACCAAATATGCGCCAAGCAGCCTCGCAAGAGGAGATGTATCTGCAGTCGTGGTACATTTGTATCTCATCAACTGGCTTTTGTCCTGCCTCAGCATCAGTTGTTTGGTAAAACCCTGCTGTGACCCGGTCACAACCTTTGTTTATGTATTTAAACAAATATTTGATTGACCTTGACTGATTACACCACTCCACATTCATATGGGCTCCATATTTCATCAATAAATAACGGCTGTGTGGAACAACAAATCTATTATCCAAATCAACCTTATTTTTTATTATTCTGCGGTCATCACATTTCCTCCTATAGATTGGGTAACCGTCGGCGTCCACTGTCGTCTCCTCACACCATTTTTTAGGAAAATGCTTGGTACATTTACCGTCAACCATGCAAGGCGCAGATTTTGCAACATTACCGCAAGGGCCATGCATCATAAAGTTCTTCACAGCAGCATAGTACAGTGGGTCAGCGTTTATATCAGGAATTTCTGCAGATATTACCCTATCTATGTCAACCGGCGAGGGCAATTTATCATTTGTTGCTAACCAAAGCAATATATGGGCATGTGGCAAACCACGTTTCTGAAATTCAATTGTGTAGACCACTGTAAAATAAACAAATAATGTTAAATAACATCGACAGGAGGTTAATCTAAAAAGGATTGAAGAGGTGACATTACCTCCCCTGACATTTCCAAAAGCTCTATTCTTCCGTAGATCTCTAATCAAACCGTCGAGCTTGATCTTGAAAACACGACTCACTATATCTGGACGATCTTCCGCTTTCAAATTCCTCGGATGCAAGAAATGATCGATTTCTGGCCATCTTGGATTGCACGTGAACGTTATGAATAAATCAGGATAACCTGCCCACCTGCAAATGGCCATGGCCGTCTTGATAATTCTGTATCATAAAGCGTGCTCCTCCGGTAAAGGTCGGAGGCAACACAATTCTCTTACCCTGTGTGCGTGAATCACTTTCTCCACGTAAAAAAGCATCACTCAAACCTTTATACATCTCACAACGCAGTTCGATTTGATGGGTCCTAACAAACCTCAAACGCGCCGCCTCAACCAAGGTATGACCGTCAACAATGAACTGTTGAAAAAGCCTTTTCATCCTTAACATTGAAGAATGATTGTCACACCGCTCTTGAAGCCGAAATGCAAGGAACTCGCGAATACTCACTCTCTTTCTGCCAGCTCCAACAACATTACCACCTCTAGACAACGGCGTATCATCACGATAGCCATCTTCACCATAAGGGAACAATAATTGATACTGAAGCGCAAAAAGCGCAAAATTAAGAAAAATCAAGAAAAAGATTCAACTAATTCAATTACTTCTCTCAGAATTTCATCCATTTCAACAGATTCAACTAATTTCTGTACTACTAAACGGTCTCTAAAATCAAAATCAGAATATGAAAGGAAAATCTAAAAATACTAAATTTAATTAAGAAAACTTTCTTAAAGTATTTTATAATTTGATGTGCACTGGTTTGATATATAAAAATCCGCAAATATATGAAAATCTAATTAGTTCTAATAAAAAAATTCGAGTTGGTCTATTTAGTTTTGTTTTGAGTTGGTCTAAATTGAAAACGATGAGTGATTTGAATTCATCAACTCTACGATTAATAAAAATCTAATGTTATTTTCTTTTTTTTATTCTACTCCCTTCGTCAAACTATTACAAACCTTATTTTTTTCTATTATAATGTCACTCAAGAATAAAAAATTAGCAAATGAAAATAATAAACACATCAAGTGCTAATAAAACAAAACTTCTAAATTTAGTTCAATTTATTATTCTTTATTTGTAAGGAAAAAGGGACAAATATGAAAATATATATTTATAACTATTGGTTTGTTTTAAACATATTTGATCTATTTAATTTTAGTTTTATTAAAAAAAATCATATAATATTTTATTTACTTCAATAATTAAATATAATTTAAACTAATTTCATCCATAAATCAAAAGAATCAATTTAAACTAAATCAATTCAGCCACTTCTGTCAAAATTTCACCAATTTCAAAAGAATCGGGTGAAGTAGCCAATTTCAGTGTTACTAAACTCACTCCACATATCAAAATTAGAACATGAAAGTAACAATAGATCAGTGGCTAATAAAAAGGGACTTTTTGAAATAAAAAAATTATTAGAAGTAAACAAATGAGAATCTTAAAGAATCATATTTCATTAAAAATCAACATGTTGAAATAATGTCTTTATAATAGTAATATGTAATTGGTTCAAAAATACAAGTATACTTGAATTTGGTTATTAGTGGCGGCGTGCGGTGTTGCGTCGAGCTCTCGACCTCGTCAACCACTTGCCGAATGGAAGAGGAGCTGCGGCTTTTTCCGGCCTTGGTCTGGAGTCTACAAGAGAAGACAACGACGCCAGAGGTTTTGGCCGATGACGGGTGGTAATAGTAAGGCACAGTAGGCGGGCCGTTCCGGCGGTTCAATAAGCGGGCGGTTCTGTTTCTCCAGAGCTACGACGACCTTCTTCAGACAAGCAATATTCAATTTCTCCGGGGCAGCGGCAGTCAGCGTCTCTAGGGAAGTGGCGGTCAGTGTTTCCGGGGCGGCGGCGAATCACTCCGGCACGACAGCAGCATGTCATCCGCGGTGCAGCTACTGGGGTGGACTGTTGGAGTTCTTGAAAGATGAACAGTTTTGGGTGAATAATACAAAATTACATGCTGAAACAAAGTAATTATTGAGTTAAAAATGAGTGGTAGTAATATAAGAGACATGATGAGCATCAGCAAATGATCTTGATTGGGAAATTTCGAAGTAATATGCTCAGCATGTACGAATCGAAGGCTCATGGTGTTATATCGTGGTCTGACATGCTCAACATGTACAAATGAAAGACTATTGATATTCTATTGGGGTGACATGCTCAGCATGTACAAGATGAATATCCTTACTACACTACTAAGTGACATGCTCGGTATATACTTTAAGTGACGTGCTTAGCATTAGACCTGTACAAACACGGGCTGACCCGCCCAGCCCGCCCATATAAATGGGCGGGTCTGGACATGTATATTTGCCCACCGGCCCGGCCCGGCCCGAGCCCGATAAAAATGTGGACGGGTATGGGTTCAATTGTAGGCCCGTTCGGGCCAAAAAGCCCGGTCCGAAAAAATATAATATATATATATATTTAATAATGTATAATACATTATACATATAATATATTACACATGCGGCATGAAGAGGCAGTGGAATGAAGTACCTGAGTAACCTGACAAGTCAAGTTTTACTCCTGAGTCATACTCTTAAAACTCCTGGGAGCTAAATCATTATTTGTGTTTTGCTAAGTAAATTTAAAGTGACTGTAATGGGTGACTTTTTAAGTCTTTCGAAGTGTTTGGACATTTTTGTTTCAATTTATGGTTTGACTTTAAATTAACGGTATTGTTTTGGATAAACGTTTTTCTCAAAGTAGTTAGTGTATGTCATGAAGGCAAATTAATGTCATTGAGCTTATTAATTGATTTTAAGATGTGATTTATTTTAGAAATGCTATCAACTAATGCTAAATTTTCCCGGGCCCGGCGGCCCGATGGACTGCCCGGCCCGCTAGTATGGGCGGGCATGGGCATGGGAAGAGGCCCGTTTTATCCGGGCCGGGCCCGCCTATTGAAGTGGGTAGAAATTTTAGATAAAGCCCGACCCGAGCCCGTGTTTGTACAGGTCTACGTTAGCATGGACAATTTATTTATTGTTTTGGTGAACACCTTACGAATGACATGCTCAGCAGGTCTTAGAGACGGCGTGTTCAGTGAGTCATAAGGGTGACATGCTCGGCATGGATTATTTATTTATTATTTGGCGTAACCACTTATGAGGAACATGCTCACCAAGCCTTGAATTTGGGATTGACATGGTCAGCATGTACGCTTTATTGGTTATTGGGTGTAACACCTTAGGAGCAACATGCTCTGCACGCCTTGGGAGTGACATGATCAACATGTACTAATTATTTATTTCTTGGAGTAACACCCCATACAACCTATGGGGTGACATGCTCAACACAGACGAAAGTGAGGACCATTGGCATACTACTCTAAGCGACGCGCTCGGCATCAACGTGCTTAACACAGATGAAATGATGGTCTTTATTTGAGTAGTTGATGTATACTTCCTCTCACCGATTTATTACTCGGCTTGGGAAGTGGGGGGCTTGTGATGACATAAATACCGGCCCAATATGGTAAGCTCGATGGAATGCGGGCTGAGCCCATAAATGAGATGGACGAGACGAACATGGACATCAGGCCCAAGGAAATACATGGTCAGCATACTCGCGATGAGAAACATGGAGTCACATTTACAAAGATATGGCGTGTTGAGCATTACATGGTTTATCTTTACAATGAGGCTTAGACATGACATGTTGAGCACGACACAGTCTTACCTCTACCATGAGATTTGAATATGGCCTGTTGAGCATCACATGGTGAGCCTCTACGCGCGTGGTGCACATGCGCTTAGACCATCGCACATGCATGATGCTAATTCCCAGAAGCTACGTGACCAACAACAAATCTCGAAGATCACAGGTCAACTCGCAATCAGTCCTACAAATCAGAGGATGGTGGCGCGTCAGTTCAGGCATGGCGACCACGTCGCCCGAATATTTCTTGTCTCAATATTGTATTATAAATTCATGTAACTCTTGGAAGAACGATCAAGCTGAATACATTGAATACACTACATATAATTATCTCTCTAAGTATTATTCGGAGTGCTTTAATTATTTTCGGCTATCTATTAATTATTTTCCGGTGGATTTATTTCCATCACATGGCACTCCAATTGGGGAGAGCATTAGAGCAAACATCTTCTGTATTCACCAAAGGTGGACCAAGTTGATTTCTATTTCATCTTCATTGCTTTCTTTCCTATAAGAGTCACTTTTTTAAATAAAAAAAAAAGATGACACTCCATCCCTGAGTGTACCCCAACACCGACCGGACGGCACGATGAGAGGATGTATACACCAAAGGTGTGTATAATTTTTATACATCAACATGTATACATATATAATTATTGAATCGGCATAGATAGCTCAATTAGTTGGTAGTGAGAAAGTTTAAACATTGGTCAAATATCAAAATCTGCAGTAATCGTGTGGAGATCACAGCTCATATGTGCTGACCCAGATCTCTGGTATAAGATCTATCACTATTAGGTTGACTGGGTGATCATCCCTTATAATCTCTCAAATGTCTTGTCGGAGAATATGAGGGGTCTAAACGTTAGGGATTCAACCTTGAAACATATAATTATGGTTTTTTTTTTAAATGAGCGAAAGTGTGCAAAAAAATTATGGTTTGACTTTGCACCTTACTTGTTGGATGATATTCGATTTTGCACTTAATTTTAAAAAACTTTTGATTTTTCTCCAGAACACATAACATTTTGTAAAGAAAAAATTCAAAATAGAGTGCAAAGTCAAAAAAATTAAGTAAAAAAAGTATAAAGTCAAAAAATTAAAAATTAAGGTATAAAGTCTAATATCACCCCAAAAAAACGTAAAATCAAATTCCCCAAAAAATAGGAAATTGTGGAAATCGTCTAATTTATGAGAGTGTTTTACCAAAACACGTGAATCCTTAACATCTAAATAAAATTAGGGTTTCTGAAAAAGGAATTGGCTCTTCCCACCAAAGTCAGGTTTTTGAAAAAAGAGGATGGGCTGGTGTCGGATACACCAATTCCGACTAGGAGCATATTTTTATTTTTAAAATTCATTCTTTATTTAATGAAGTGTCTTAATAAAGTTTCGAACTTTTAATGAAGTGGGTTGGCCAAAATACCCCAAAATTTAACTAGCTTTCACACTTCATTAATTAACGTATTTTGGCAGGTGCTTTGAACGATTTTTTTTTTTTAAATAAAGTAAGTTTTTTTAAGTTGAAGTAATACGTAGCGTTCAATTTTTTAAAATGAAAAATATGCATTTTGAATTTTTGAATAAAAAAATTGATAACTTTAATTTATTTTTTAATTCATTCCTATTGTTAATTAAATTCATAAAATGAAGTACAAATTTTCATTTGTTTAAAATGCAATCTTTGTAAATTTAATGGAAGTGAACAAAACAAATGTAGTCTTCAATGTAATTTATTAACGAATATATAGTACGTGTATACAATTCTAAATTTAATACGAGTACTACATCTAACGTTGCTTGCTCGGCCCTGACATGTCACCGCCGCCAGTGTTCCAAAACCCCGATGTGTCTTCAAAAGTGGAAAAATATGCATCTGACTGTGTAGAATGTTGATAAGAACCATCATACGAGGGACGAGAGCGGGTTCATCTTGTGCATTCGGGTAAAGGAATACGCCCTGGTGGAGCATCGCTTCATCACCTAACTCAATGGCCAACCACTCAAGTCATTCTTTAACGTTCTCTTTAATGTTCTCATAATCCACGTGTCTGAGTTGACCCGTGACTCGTCCATTTGACCGAGTCGCTTCCCGGTTCGTTTTTTACAACACAGGTCACTAGTATTGAATGAGTCCTTATTTTTTTTAAAACATGCAGTGTACTACTACGTACTACGTACTACGCACTCCGTATTATTTTAACTTGTGTAATGTACTATTCTTTAAACTAGTGTAATGTACTATTATCAAAACACCTAAAAATAAATTACATGATTAATACAGTGAACTAGTCTTATGTGATGAATTTTTATCTGTTTAATTTTTATTATAGATGGGTCAAATCTGCACGTAGATTTTTAGAAATTTTATGCATTTCATACAATTTTTATGAATGGCCTCATTTGTCGGATTTTGTCTAATTATAAATTTATAATTACAATAGTATATAATGATATAATTTCTATGTACTTCATCCGTCCTTTAAAACTTTACCAAATTTGACCAACACAGGGATTACAAAAAAAAGTTGACAAAATTTTAAGAAAAATTTGCTCCTCTATCACTTAATTTTAAACGTGTCATTGAATCGGAGTATTTAACATGAATAATACATACCGGGAGATTCGAAGTTCTCAAACGTTTGGGGGTTGTTCCTCCCGCCATATACTGATGATGGGCCCTCTCCGCTATTTTGAAGCAGAGCAGTATTGTTTGTAGTAGTTCCGTGGAACGTCAAATTTTGTGGCGGGGCCGGTATAGCTTCCACGTAAATGTGCAACTCATCGTACTCATTTATATTTCTAGCGATCCGGAAAAAATGAGTCCATGTATTCTCATCGTGAATGGGCCATAGCCTAGAAGCAACATATACAGAGATCTTATATTTTGGCAATTTTCCGTGAATTAATTTAATTTCGGAAAATCCCTCACTTCTAACATGGTTTACAACACTCTCGTGTATGCTGGTAAAATCATCATCTTCATTGATGAATAGTACCGCCCTAGGAGGTATGGAGTACTCTATTTCATCATCTTTTTGAAATGTAGAACCATTCCAATGAACCATAATAACAATATTACTCTCACTAGACATTTGTATATACGGAGTGGTATATATGAAATATATTAAGAAAGGAAGAAGTTTTTTTTTCTGTATTAAAAATTTGAGGATGTGGGATGGGTTGTATATGATGTTAGATAGGTAAAATTTGTGGTTTAAAAATGAACATGTTCAAAGTTGGATTTTAGTGTGATTGGAAGTACCAATTATGATAGGAGCATATGGTTTTTCCATTTTATTTCATCGTCGGATGCATATACAATTTTTAAAATAAAAAAATAAAAAATAGTACTCCTGGTCACATTTAGCAATTCCGAAAGGAAATAATATTATTTTTGGGATTCCCCTAGTCGGATTCTCCACATCCGACATGGTAAAATGTTTTTTTGGATGTTAGTTACCGTAGTAGGATATATAAATGTTGGAAAAAATAAATGGTTGAGTTTAGTCGGAACAGTCAATTCCGACAGGAAGTATAAACCTAACCCTTCCCCCGATCGGAACACCCAATTCCGTGTTTTGGTTTGTAAGACGAAAAAGCCCGCATTTTGGTAATTTCCTCAATTTATGATGTGCAGCAGTGTAGGTGTAGGTGTTACGTTTTATGATAAGGTACATGTATCACAGCCGGGCCAGTATAGTAGTCCGCAGTAGTAAGCAGCCACTGCCCAACCTAGCTAGCTGTTACGGATATCATACCCTACCTCATTTATTGTTAAACCAATCAAACGTCACCACCTACCTGCAGCTACAACATAATTACAGAACTATAGCCCAATTCACACCAAAATATGAGTTCATCGATGTGTGCATAAAAAGCAAGAACAGTTTTATTCTTAAGTCGCATAAAAAGGGTAAAATAAGTCCTTATATAGGAGACTCTGTCCCGCCGTCACCATTTGCGCCAGTTCCCGGTGGAATTTTTTGATGAAATTTTTTGAGTATCTTATTCATTAAGTCTAGTTTGCCCATACCAAATTTCAGCTAAAACTTGAATCGGAAAGACATTCAAATGAAATCTTGAAAATAACTGCGCAGTTAAAAGCGCAATTATCTTCACGAATTCATTTGAATGCCTTTCCGATTGAAGTTTTAGCTGAAATTTGGTATGAGTAAACTAGACTTCATGAATAAGATGCTCAAAAAATTTCATAAAAAAATTTCACCGGGAACCGCCCCAAATGGCGACGGCCGGACAGTAAGGACTTATTTGATTCCTTTTATGCAATTTCGATGACCAATCTGACCTTTTATTCTTAAAAAATGTGCAAAAATATACGGAGTACTAGTAATAACACTTGAGTTCATAACTCTTTTCATGAATTTTCATGCGTTATTAGTACAGAGTACATTTATGCCCGTACTTAGGGAGTGTTTGCAACTGCTTCTGCTTAAAAAAAAGCACTTTTGGAGAAGTAATGAAAAAGTGATTGGTAGTAAAAGTTGATAGTGTTTGAGAAAAAAGTGATTTTGAAAAGTAAAAGTTGGTAGTGTTTGGTAAAATAAGTGCTTTTTGTGTAATAGAAAAGGGAAAAGCACTTTTCACACGCAAGCCGAGAAAAAGTAAAAATTGGTAGTGTTTGGTAAATAAGTGCTTTTTAAAGCCAAAAGCTGAGAAGTGCTTTTTTTTAAGCAGTTGCAAACACTCCCTTAGTACTCCATACTACGTATTATACTCCTTATTTATTATTGTGATATTTCATTTTTATTATTAATGATTAGCTAAAAGTTCTATCTCTTTATTATTTTTATAGTGTTGACACTTTTGCTCCCTTTTTGTCTTCCTCTTCTTAATTCTTAATTTTGTTTATAATACATTGCTTATGTAATCCATTTTTCCTTTTTAGGGAGTGTTTACAATTGCTTAAAAAAACACTTCTAGACAAAACACTTATTTTACCAAACATTATGAACTTTTACTTTTGTCGGATTTCGTGCGAAAAATGTTTTTTACTTTTTCTATTAGACAAAAAGCACTTATTTTACCAAACATTACCAAATTTTATTTTTCAAAATCATTTTTTCTCAAACATTATCAACTTTTACTACTAATCACTTTTTCCAAAATGACTTCAAAAGTGTTTTTGTAAAGCAGAAACAGTTGCTAACACCCCCTTTGATGGAGTATATGGCCCAGGGACCCCCGGCCCACAAACTCCTACTTCTCATACACAGGCCCAATGAGCCCAATGAGCCCAATGAGCACACAAGGCCCGAACACAGCGGCCCAAGCAGAAAGAAACCCAAGGTGCACGCATGGGCGCCTTCGGCCTCTTTGGCCGAAGGCTCCAAAACTCACAGAACAGCCATATTTGAGCATACGAAGCTACTGGGAGAAAATGGCAGAAAACGGGAGCCTTCGGCATCGCTGAGCCCTCGGCATCAGAAAAGCCTCCGGCTGAACCAAGCCTTCGGCTACACAAAGCCTTCGGCCACACGAGGCCCTCGGCTGCATGAAGAGCCTTCGACCAAACAGACTCAATCATCGAAGATTCCCTTTGGAGACAGCCAACCACCGCATTTAATGCGATGTCACATCCGCCCACCGCATTTAATGTGACGTCACATCCGCCCACCGCATTTAATGCGGTGAACGTGCAATTGCCGGTGCCACCCCGATTGAGGTGACCCCTCGGCCGTTAGATTATCGCCACGTGTACTCTCATCGCATTTATTACAACTATAAATAGCACCCCCTTTTCCCATTGTAAAGGACCAGAACATCTCGAGTTCTTTAATACAATCGCCTCTCTCTCCTACTTGTTTGCTCTAACTTCTCTCTAGGTTATTCTCATAATAACCCCCGGATAAGCTACCCCCGGGTACACTATCCATCACCCTTATTCTTTTTCCCGTTTATTATCTTATTTCCATTTTATAATTTCACTTCAGATTAGTTACCTTATAAAAGGTTTTTGTCTTACTCTACCTTATTCATTTTTTTATTTTAGTTTTATTTCTCCAATTGATTTATTCTTTTTTCTTTTTCTAACCTTAATTCAACCATTAATATATTTCTTCCCTTTTTGCATCGTCATATATTTTGAAATGAGTCCACTATTGCTATTTTGAAAGTTCTTCAGAAAAGAAAGAGTGGAGGGAAAATGAAGTAAAAACAAAAAGACTTTCTGAAAAGGAAGAAACAGAAAACACAAAAAGAAAATGAAAGTATGGACATTTACCAGAGTCGAAAAGACATGGGAATTGAAAGGTGGTAATTAGTTATAAGGAGAAAAAATAATAAAATCCTAAACCAATAAACCAGAAATCACCAAACCGGCCTTTCATTCGCTGTTATTTGAGTGTTTTTACGAAGCATGCTCTTAAACAAAACCTTCATATCTCCGATCTCCGCATCAATAAAAAGTTTTTTTTTATGATTGTGTTAAGATTAAATTAATATGCAAAATCTCATTAAAGCTTTTTTTTGGAAGAATCTCATTCAAGTCAATATACATAGTACGTATGTGTATCACGCCATGGACAATATATAGAGAAAATTACCTACATAGGACTAAAATATATCATTTATGCACAAATAGGAGTGCTGCTTAACGAGAAGTTTAGGGGGACTAAATAGCATGTGTCATGACATAAATACCCTTACTGAATCCCTGAGCTTAATGAGATCGGTTCTGTAACTAATACGGCCCAACACCTCCTTTTCAAAACTCGCGCCTACATTAATTACTCAGCCGTTAAGCAGTTGATTGAATCAATCGAGAGAGTCCAAAGCATTCAATGGCGGATTCCGATACGCAGAAGGCATTAGCGGAAGAAAAAAAGTAAAATACAACATCTAAAGTTGTAGGAGGAAGCAAAACGACCAGAGAAGAGCCTAAAATGGCGGATTCCGACTTCGAATCAACAGGCCAAAAAGTAAAAATGAGGCGAGACCTGGTACGATTTTATGTTGTCAATATCAACATTGTTTGATTCGTAAATGGAAATAGTGACGATGTTTGTTTGAATTCGAAGTCTGGAATGATATTGTTCTGCTAATAATTGTATATTATTGTCATTTTTGTGTGTCTAGTGCTTGAACAATGGTTTGTGTGTGGTTTTCGTTCCTAGTGCCATATTTTCCTAATATTTGTGTACTGAATCAAGTTTTATTAGTTGAACTGAATGTGTTATAGAAGAGATGATAGCCATGGTTGTGCGATTTAGGTATTTAGGAATGACATTTTTGGACTTACAAATGAGATCATTTGAATTTTTGTCATACACACACACACACACACACACACACACACACATATATATATATATATATATATATATATATAGTGATGCTTTCAATTCATAGAAGGTGAAGCACAATTTCAAAGTAAGTATTATGGTGAATCTCATCTGAAATGGAAATAATGATAAAAATTATGTCATTAAAAGATATCTTAAATAGTGATGTCAATATGTAAAATAAAAATGATGGTATGTAGAGTACTGGGTTAATGTGTTACAATGCCTACATTTGTTATTAAATGTCATATTATATTGAAACTGTAAAACGTATACATATGTGCTTCTTTTTTAATACAACTGAATTGTCTTGAATATCATCTGAAATGGATATACCATGAAAAGGATGACATTTAATGACATGTTAATTATAATAGCTTTTTTAAATCATGTGCACTAATACCATCTTTTTTATTGTACATCAAATGTAAATGTACATGGAAATATTGATATAATTAAGTGTTTACTGCAGACTATAACGAGGACATGTTATAGAGGATTGCTGGATAAGTTTGAAAAAATGCGTGTGAATTGCTTTTGCAATTTGAGTGAGGTTGGTAAGCGAATCAAGGAAAAGTTGAATGAAGAAGAAATAACACTTTTTAGAAGTTCAGTTTTAGGCTGGATTCTAGATATAGAACATATGCCACGATTAAGTGGGCAACTCAACATTTGTTTCGTAGCAAACTATATTGAGGAGTTCAATGGTAACGTTGAAAAGGATGTTATAAGATTCCATGTAGCCAATAGTCTGATAAGCTTTACAAAAGCAGATTTGGCAATAGTCACCGGTTTGAAGATAAATGGGGTGAAACCGGCAGTATCTGATAACGTGGGTGGGGATATGTGCAGAAGGTATTTTGGTACCAAAGAAGTAATAGTGAGGCAGGATATTGTTCAAGCTTTGGAGAGGTACAACAGAAACAATCCAGGAACAGAAGAGAATGATGGTCTTAAACTAGGACTACTCTATGCTTTAGCACATGGATTGTTTGGAAACCAATACGCGATTCGCTTGCCAGGGAAATATATTAACTTGGTACAAGACTTAGATGCATTCAATTCTTACCCTTGGGGTGATGATGTCTGGGATGATCTAGTCTCAAATATGAAGAACAACGCAGAAGCACTCAAGTTCTGCACACGTAAAAGAGTGGCGTTCACAGCTTGTATGCAAGCAATACAAATCTGGGCCTTCGAGACCTTTCCAATATTGGCTAATGAAAGGCTATGCTATGTTATAAAAGACAAAGAAAATGTCATTCCTAGGACATTGAAGTGGGCTTTTCACAAGAAACCATCAATACAAAAATTTTGTGAACTCATTTTCAGTAATGACAAGGTAATTTCAATTAAATTATGCACAATTATTTATGTAAATAGTTACATTTCCATACAGTGAATAAGTCATATATTTTTTATCTAAGTTTAATTGCCAATGTTACAGTTTGAGTGGACAAAAATAGTTCCAAGTGCAGATGAGATCCAAAGAATCCAAGGACTTGTAGGAGGGGAAAGCAATGAAGCAAAGGACCTGAGAATTGATGCAACCAAAAAGAACACAAAGCAGAGCAAAAAGGATGCAAGAGGAAAAAAAGGAAAAGAAATACAGAGAGCAAATTCAGGAGGAAACAATAAAAGAAAAAAGGCAGGACAGAAAGAAAAAGGAGAGTGCAGTAGGCGAGTGTTGAGAAAAAAAGGTAAGGTGGTTGATAGTGAAGAATCTAGGTCCAATGAAAGTGGGGATGAGTCAAAGGCAGGAAAGGGCATAATCATGAAGACACTAGTTAAGCAGTCCAAAGAAATTGCCAATATGCGTGCAGAGATAAAAGAAATGAAAATAAATCAAGATGCAATGCTAAAGAAGATTCTGAGTCTTGTGAAGGAAATATCAAAGACAAAAGGAAAGAAGGAAGTGATGAAGGACAGAGAGGACATGGAAGATGAAGCTATGAAGGATATCAGTGATGAGCACAGTAGCACGGATGGCAATGAGAGTGAAAGCTCTGAAGAAGATTCTCAGGAGAATGACAAGGTAATGAAATAAAAATGTTAATTTCCATATGAGAAGCTTATTTCCTATTTATATGGCATTAAATACCAAAGGATGAGTACATATATAAAATGAAGTTAGTATTTGTTGTAGGATGAAGCTATGAAGGATGTGAGTGATCAGAAAAGTAGCACGCCTGACAACGAGAATGAAAGCTCTGAAGAAGATTCTCAGGAGAATGACAAGGTAATGAAATAAAAATTGTAATTTGCATAGAACACACTTATTTCCTATTTATATGGCATTAAATACCAAAGGTTTAAGTGCATACAGAAAATGAAGTTAATATTTGTTATAGGATGTGAGTTATCAGAAAAGTAGCACACCTGACAACGAGAATGAAAGCTCTGAAAAAGATTCTCAGGAGAATGACAAGGTAATGAAATAAAAATTGTAATTTGCATAGAAGACACTTATTTCCTATTTATATGGCATTAAATACCAAAGGTTAAGTACATATATAAAATGGAGTTAATATTTGTTACAGGATGAAGCAATAAAGGATGTGAGTGATCAGAAAAGTAGCACTCCTGACAATGAGAATGAAAGCTCTGAAGAAGATTCTCAGGAGAATGACAAGGTAATGAAATAAAAATTGTAATTTGCATAGAAGACACTTATTTCCTATTTATATGGCATTAAATACCAAAGGTTAAGTACACATATAAAATGGAGTTAATATTTGTTACAGGATGAAGCAATAAAGGATGTGAGTGATCAGAAAAGTAGCACTCCTGACAATGAGAATGAAAGCTCTGAAGAAGATTCTCAAGAGAATGACAAGGTAATGAAATAAGAATGGTACTTTCCATATGAGACACTTATTTCCAATTTATATGTCATTAAATACAAAATGTTGACTTACACATATAAAATGAAATTAATATTTGTTGTAGGGGAAGCAGAAAGATGAGCAGCAAGCTGATGATACAGAAGTTGACAATGAAACAATTGCCCAAAGAATTGCTAAAATGAAGAACGATGCTCCAAATTTTAATCTCTTAAGTCAGACTCATGAAGGAAAAGATCTAAGTGAAGAGACAATTGCCCAAGGAATTGCTAACATGGAGAACGATGCTCCAAATTTTAATCTCTTAAGTCAGACTGATGAACGAAAAGAACCAAGTGAAGAGACCCAAGGAATTGCTAACATGAAGGACGATGCTCCAAATTTTAATCTCTTAAGTCAGACTGATGAAGGAAAAGAACTAAGTGAAAAAGAAGAAATCATGATTAATTTGACTGGGAGTAAAAGAAACACAGAAGGTGGGCCACAGAAAGAAAAGGTAACAACATACAAACTATTGTACTTTAATTCCATAATTGTAACTTATATGGCAATAGGTGTACAACAGAACACGAAGGATTTAATGCCAGTAACATGGAAATAGTGGCGTTGTGTAGCACAATGGAATATTAAAATTATATTGTATGCAAAATTAGGGTGAAGTGATCTAAATATTACATGATATGTGCACTGTAATGAAAATTTAATCAGATAGCTAAGCATTTTTTATGTAATTTTATGCAGACCACAAATAATATTGAAGACGGTAAAGAACAGGCAGAGGGATCTGGAAAGGAAAAGGATGAAAACAAAAAACAAAAAATGCAAAGTGATCAGAAAACTTCTGAGGAAGCAGACAATGAAATTTGGAGTCAGGAAAACTCACAATTCATTAGAGAATTGGTTATGAATGCCGAAATGACTGAAAGACTAATGCTTGGAAAAGGAACCTTGCAAGAGGACAAGGAAACAGAAGATAAGGAGACAGAAGATATTCAAAGCAAAGTGCAGGTGATGACAGTAATTTCAATCTAAACTTTACATTATTACATTAATGTCATGTACAGTGAATAGATTACTGACTTGAGCTTGTTTGTTGTTGACTAAAACTGAAAGAAAACATCTACAAAAACTCAAAGGACAAAAAGAAGAGCCAAATCTCCAGATAGATACACACCAGCGGGGCAGAGTGCTGATGCAAAAAGAAGAAGAAAAGAAAGAGCAAAAAGAGTGGCAGAAGAAGAATTCTTACCACCATGTAAAGAGATGTATGGGCCGTTCTCAGAAGACCCAACAGACGCTATTGATCAAGAGGAAGTGAATAAATTCACAGAATACTTGAAGATTGGGCTGATGAAAAAACCAAAGAAGGAACACAACGTGATTAGAAGATACAAGGCCGACTACGAGATAATGTCCAGTAATCCTTTGATTTTGGACACCATGAAGATAGAGTCAAAAACATGGTTGCATGATCTGTTTGTAAACCACCAATGGCTGTCTGACAAGGTATAGTATATTATTCAATTTAAATTAATAAACATCATATTTTATTATTAACTGCTTTTCTGCTAGTAAATGTGTATATTGTGTTTTTATGTTCAAAGACATCTTAAATGGAAATAAAATGAAGAAGATGGCATTAGAAGACAGGTTAATTATAAGATATGGTTGTAATAATGTCCTTTAATACCATCTTTTTTACTTTATTAACTTTTTTTTGCAGCACATAGAAGTGGGGATGTATTATCTAGAACGCAAGCGAGTGCACTACAAGTTGAGGCAGAAATACACAACAACAGGACCTTTTTTCATGGAACTGCTCAAGAGGGAACATGATATGATTTTAGACAGAAAGACAACACTGAAAGACGCAGCAGAGAAGGGGAATATCTGCGAATACATTCTGGGGACTTCAACAAGCTACTCGCTGCACTGGGCAGATGCTGACTTCGTCTATATCCCTTTGAACACTGGGTGTCATTGGGTGTTGTTGGTCTATGAAGTAAAGGCAAGGAAGATGAAAGTCTACAACTCGAACAAGAGAAGAGGTGAATCCCTACGTGACATCGTCGCATACAAAACTTGCATTCAAAATATGCTACCCAAAGTTCTGGATTACCACACTGTCTATGAAGCTATGGAAGAAGAACCAATGGGAGTGAGACAAATTTCTATTGAAAATGCTGAAGATTGCCCACAACAGGACACAGCGTAAGAAAAAAATTAATAACTTAGCCACATGAAATAATATTGTATGAAAAAAACTAATAGAAAGGGTGTTTGTTGCAGGGGAAATTGTGGAATGTTTCTTCTCAAAATTGCAGAGTTCCTAATGATGAATATGGACCTCAACGAACTGAATGCTGCAATGATGTATATGTTTCGAAAGAAAATGACTTTGGAGTTGATTCAATACAGCAGCAAAAGGCAGAACAAGATACAGGAGAAATAGAGCAAAAGGCAGACCAAGGATGTCTTTAATGAAATATGTGTTGAGTGAATGAGATTAAACAGACATGTAGTTGGGTTTGAATGTTTCCATTCTTGTACTGCTTTTTTACGTTTATTTCTTTTGTTTTGCAAAGCTACTTGTGTAAAACATAAGACATGTTGATTAGAATTGCTGAAACGTTGGCATATAGTGACATTTGGTTTACCTTGCTTGGAAATTATTGTCACTATATTTGGTCTTTAAATAACAAGTACATGTTTACATTAATGACATTACTTGACAAGTACACAGAAGAACTTGTCAATTATTGACACAAAATAAAGTACAGGAACATGTATTTTGAGGGAGTTTAAATAATAGTGACATTATTGAAAAAAATATACAAACAAAATAAAATAATCATTGAACAGAGATCTGAAGCTTGGTATACACAAACATTTGTAACAAAGACAATGTTTTCCAACAAAGACATATAATGTTTTATTACATCATATTACTTAAGAACGTATAAAAGAAGCATTTCCAATGTTTGCCAACAAAGACAATAATGACACTCCCTACTCTATTAAACAGTATCAATGTTTTCACGAGGAATTGGATTGCCACATGTTTTTTTGTTGTGTCCAACGGCATGACAACGAGAACACCTTCGACGTTTTGATCCACGAAACTCTCCAATAGAAGGAATTCTACATTTCTTTGGACGGCCAGGAGGTCTCTTCAAGCAATTTGGAGGCTTGCATGCAATGCTAAGAACACTTTGTGGAATTGACCATGAATTTGGATCCGGAATTGGATGCATGGTACCACTCCATGTAGACAACCATGCGTCACGAGAATAATAAGGAGAAATGAAATCATAACAAGAGAGGCCTGGTCGAATACGAAGAGAAGCAACACCATGTACACAAATGAACTGATCCAACTGAAAGACACCACATGAACAAGTCTTCTTTGAAAGGTTAACAACAAATGATCGGCAATCCCTATCAACAACCTCGAACTCCAAATATGAAGATGGTTTCACCTAGATGGAGGGAAGTGTAAAAGTGTTACAAAATTCATTATAAAATAGAAAATTTGAAACATTATTTGACATGGCACAAAATGTCCATAAGACAGTGCAGCATGGAATTAAACAACAACACAGAATGGCAATAAGTAACAAACTCCTATTCCAGAATACAAATGCACTTAAAAAGTGAACGTAATGCATAACCATTTAGGGAACCAAAAGTAATACCTGCATGTGTGTAGATGCATATTGCAATGACACCAAATTGTTTTCACGTTTACTTGACAAAATGGTGTTTACAAAATAAAACAAAACAGATGGCATTAACAGAAAAGAGGATGGCAATAATTACTAACAGGATCCATGTCAAACAATAGTGAAACTGTCACTAATTCAAAGACTAAATCATGATGAGTAGAATGGAATTATGAAATATTTGTTGAATTACAGTCCATAAATAAAGAAATATGAATAACAGGACATAAATTGCAGAGATTATCTATAATGAATTAACAATAACAACTATATTGTTGAAGCAAGTTCATAAAAACCAGAGTACTACAGCAGATAATTGATGAAGAACATACTGAAAAGCAACGTAAGCAATATGTATACTTACATAGAAAAGGTGAAACATTATTTGACATGGCACAAAATGTCCATAAGACAGTGCAGCATGGAATTAAACAACAACACAGAATGGCAATAAGTAACAAACTCCTATTCCAGAATACAAATGCACTTAAAAAGTGAACGTAATGCATAACCATTTAGGGAACCAAAAGTAATACCTGCATGTGTGTAGATGCATATTGCAATGACACTAAATGTTTTTCACATTTACTTGACAAAATGGTGTTTTTTTTAGAAGCCTTTTCACTTCTTTCCGTGAACCACTTTTGCATGTGTTGACGTAAGAAATCAATGAGCTTAGATATGGAGCACTCTCTGGCAATGACATTAACATTATTCAGCGACTCTGCACAATTAGAGGTAAGCACACCAAATCTTCGTGGACCAGCCATACACCTAGCCCATCTATGACTCCCAATCTTATCTAACCACGGACGAATCTTGACATTATCAGAATCTAACATAGCTAGGTATTCTTCATACTCAGGAATAGTAGCAGCCATATACGCAGCCTTAAATTTCCAGCCAATCCCATCACCAGAACTTCTAAATTTATGAATCAGATTACGCCTAAGGTGTTCCACACAAAACCCATGAATAGCATGTGGGAAAATTTCACCTGCAGCCTTGATCAGTCCTTTATGGCGATCTGAAACGATGTATAAATCATGACGGTACTTAAGAGTATCCCGCAACTTCATAAAGAACCACTTCCATGAAGATGTAGATTCAGAATCACATATGCCAAAGGCCAAAGGTACAATGTGTCTATTTGCATCTTGAGCACAAGCTGTAAGCAATGTTCCTTTGTAATAAGATTTCATAAATGAGCCATCAACAATGAGAACAGGTCTACAAAACTGCCACGCATCAGTCCAAGCTGCGAAAGAAAAGAAGAATGACTGGAACGTGTCATCAGCACCTATCGTAAGACTTATTGTAGATTCGGGGTTTGATTGCTCAAACATGTGGGCCATCGATGGTAAAAGTTGGTACGAGGCTGCATCTGATCCAAACTGCTTTTCCTTAGCAATTTTTTGTGCTGTCCAAGCTTTCTTATACGACATTGAAATTCCAAATTCCAAAGCCATGTCATTCCTTAACTGTTTGGGAGTATATGGTTTTGCTGAAGCATCAAGATATTTGTACGCAACCATATCTGCAATGATATCTGCTGTAGCCTGCCTGTGGTTACCTTGTCTGAAATCGACCGAACAAGTATGTGTAGGGCGAAACCTGGTATGCAGGAAACAAAATATTGCCATCACACAATCATGGAAATAGAACTGTAAATATGGCAATAAAGAACAAATATAATAAATCAATGTAGTAATTTGTGTGAATACCTTCTTATCTGAAACATATTGACTGCGGTTAATCTAACTGCGCGCACTGTCCATTTGCATCTTTCATCCTTACAAATGACATGAAGGCTATCTTTCTTTGATGTAAGGGTTCTATATTGAAAACTGTTATTGATTGCATACTTTTTCAAATGGTGGATAAGAGCCTTCTTGTCTTTATAGATGGCAAGAGGAATCAGACAAGTAGGATGATGATGTGTAATAACCTCAGCATTATGGTGAAGGGTAAAACTTTTAGAGGAAGACACTTTAGAACTAACAGAAGAAGAGATAGCAATTGAGGTCTCTGGAACATCAGAAAAATCAGATGATGAAGCATCATCATGTGGTTCAAGGTTGTGAACAACCTCATGATCAGAAACATCAACATGTGATTCAGTACTAGATTCGGACAACAACGAAGATACAGTTGAATTACTAGAATGAGGAACTGAGTTGTGAAGTAGTAAGGAAGGTTCAACTTCAACAACTTCATTACAAACAAACTGAATGCATAGAGGAAACTTTTCAAAATCAGTTTGAAGAACTTTAAGATGAAGATAAAATTTGAATGTCTGTTCATCATGAATACAAACTGGCGGGGGACATCCATCAACAACATAAGAAACTATGAAAGAATGGTTTGGTTTGTAGAGATTTAAGATTTCACGCATACTTTGAATGAAAGAAACATATGTCGCATCTGCACGAATTTGAATACCACACGTGTCCCTATGAGTGAAAGTACAATTACTCAACCATATACCATCCAGTTTGACCATAAGCAGCAAAACAGTATCCATTTTGAAGATATGATTGGCTAAAACAAAGAAAAACAAAGTGTTATGCAAAACATGACAAAAAAATATTTAAATCAGAAACAGAAAGAAAGACTATAAAATAAAAAGGAAAAAATGTAAGCTTGTACTTAACAGAGAATGATTCAAAGGCAGTTTACAAAATAAAACAAAACAGATGGCATTAACAGAAAAGAGGATGGCAATAATTACTAACAGGATCCATGTCAAACAATAGTGAAACTGTCACTAATT